AGTTTCTATAGGAACAGCAGGGGTACAACATCTAAAAATTTTTATTTTAACGGTACAAATTATGTTACTTTTATTGCAGAGGTAACGATTGATTCTATTCGTGCAAAAGGATAATTTCCTCTTGGGCCAAATATGAGTTCGGGATAGTTTTTATAGGAACGGCAGGCGTACAAATTCTGAAACTTTATATTTTAACAGTACAAATTATGTTGCTTTTATTGCAAGAGTAACTATTGATTCTTATTGTGCAAAAGGATACTTTACTCTTGAGCCTAATATGAGTTTAGGATACTTTTCTCTTGGGCCAAATATGAGATCGGGATAGTTTCTATAGGGACGGCAATTTTACCAAAATCGGATTATAATTGGCAAAGATATTAAACAGTTAAACACATTTTCTTCCCTAAAAAAAAACTAATTTTTTTTTGAAAGTTTGAAGTGGCACAAAAAGGCCAAAAATGCACCCAATGGCTCAAAACTTTTTTGTTGAGTACTTTAGTCTGTCTAGAATACGATTACATTACGAAAAATTCTGCAAAAATAATTTATCTATTTTTTTGACCACTGTTCATTGAGTGACGACCAAAAAACACGGTTTTTGAGGAAAGTTGCCTAAAATTGGCGATTTTTAGTTTTTTGGTCTGAAAATTAAGAAAACCCAGATGTCATGTCTTCTGAATGTGCATACAAAGATTTAAGTGTGTATGTTTTTTCTAAGTTGTAGAATTCTCCCGACAAAAGTCCCATTACACGCGCTCCGCGGGATCCAAAACTCGTGTATACACTGCATTTTTGTAATTTGATTTTTTTGCGATTTCCAGTTTTAAATTTTTTACATGCCTTAATCTATTAGGCCTAAAATTTATTAAATTGTATTTTACTGACTTGTTATAAGACGTTCCTTGAGTTTTGTGCAAAAAAATAGAATTACCGCAAAATTAGCCGCACGTCCTATCAAGGATAGCCATGGTCTCGGCGTTCGCTATCCGATAAGTTTAAACTTCAAACGGTCATATTATTACAAATTAAATCGCTTGATAGTGTTCATCGGCATAGATTTTTAATAACCGTGTTCAGCAAGCTCTGTGTACACGTGGTTTTTCGGACTTTTTCAGCAATTTATTGAGTAAGTACGTTCCTAAATTAACAAAATTCTATCACAGTGCTATAATTTTTTTGTTTCCAGGTTGCAATGGCTGGCCTGTGTTTATTATGTCATCAGACACTTACAGAGGGTGAACTTACCCCAATTAGACTGACAGGATTGAAAGGTCTGCAGACGGTCAGCAAAGAGAGAGGGGATGATTTTTTCAGTTCTTTAGAACCAGGTTTTATATTGCATGAGAGGTGTCGCAAACATTACGTAGTTCGACGTTACGGAAAAGAGCTTATTTATAAAACCTGGGATAGGCATAAAAGGGCCGCGATTGACAATGCCAAAAAAAGGAGGATGGAGCATCAACCGAGAAGAAAACCAGATGTTAGAGAACAAAAAACAAGCTTATCACTAATTTGGAACTTACACTCAGGCTTAGGATTAATTTCCTAACATTTTTAAAGTATACCTTTTTGTGTATTTTTTTGTGCTCTTTCCGATGGCGCAGTTAGTTTTTTCAAATATATTTTTTGTTAGATGTTTTCGGAAAACCCGGAGAAAATCATATGGGAAAAAAATTAAAAAAAAACTACGCCTTCCGGTTTCCTGCGAATTCCCGAAAAATTATGGCAGATTTCGCCGCGGGACTTATTTTATTTGAGAGCCAACAAAAAAATACGCAACTTCTCTCATGGGCACATATGTCTAACATTTATAATTTCGCCACACATTCATCGCAAATTTTATGTTCATGGTTCTAATCAAAGAAACGAAAAAACTTTTTGGGAAATCACTTCTGGCGGCGAGAAATTCGCCATTAAAACTACTTGTGCAATGAATTTCCGAACTATTTTTGCCTTCTCTTTCGATTGGTGCATTTATTTTTACTATCAGAATTATACTTGCCTAGATAATTAGCATTTTTACCATGGAAAATTCCGGAAAATCCGGTTTTTCTTAATTTAAAAAAAATTGAAAAACAACTACATCTTTTTTTTTCTTTTTTTCGGAAAGACCACATCAAAATACACAAGGTCCAGTTTGTTTTATCCAATTACAAATTAATGTAAACTCGAAGGGGCTTTTTTTCGTTATTTAATTGGACTATCTTAGCCCCCCATTTTTATCCAAATTTTTTCAAAATCAATAGGCTTCCTTTTTTATAGAGCTTGATTTTTGCGATAATTCTTTACTACGTTGTTCGATTTCTATGATTCTTTTTTGTTAGAAAGGGGATACCTCAGGGGTAGTCCGTATACAATCGGTCAGGATCTGTTGATTGATGACAAAATCAAAAATTTCAATTTTTGGGGGCATCTGCACGATTTTTAAAATTATTTTTATAACTTGTATAGTTCTTCCATTAACAATTGCAGAACACGGTTATGTGGGGAATCATCAATATTTAATATATATGCACGGTACTCATGCCAAATTAAGAAACGAAAAATAATGTTTACTCCCCTTATACAAAGCGGTAAATAATAAACGAACCATCAGTTGTTTACCAATGAAAATATCGAATCGTAAACTTAAATGCACTGTATTGGCCGAAGGTTTACGGAAGGCAGGTGTTCGAAAATATTCCTGGAAGACAGTCTGCGATATCAGTGGAGTACTGTCGTCGGTGTGTTTTGTATGTGTGGTTGGTTTAATTTAAATTTCTTTTAATAAATATAAATATGGCGTTCTTTAGACCATGGGCGAATGAAGAAAATGAAATTGCACAGTATAGTGAGATTAAAGACAGGTATAACTTTAACGATAAGGATTTAGATATACAAACACAACAATTTATTTTAAATATATTCGAATGTTTAAAAAAGGAAAATATTCAGCAGTCTGATAATGCGTTCATAATAATAATTGCTGAATTAACTAAAGTAAATAAATTTTCCGTTTATCCGGTAGTCACGAAAGCGGTTGCTGTGGATTATTCATAAAACCGAAAAACATGTAAAGAAAAACTGAAATCAGTTGACAGAGCTACCCAAGATTTTATACGAAGGACAATTTATAGTTTATATAAGGAGAACAGGGTTCCGACATTGGAAGTAATACAGCAAAAGGTGGCAGATTTTCCAGGATACACTTATACCAGTTTGGAAACATTGCGTCAAGTTTTGTCAGCATGTGGTTTTAAACACAAAAAATTAAATAAACAGATGGCAATCACCGAATCGTCAAGAATAGTTCAATGGCGACAAGATTATTTGCGTCAGATAAAAGGCTACAGAAGTTCTAATAGATACATAATTTATCTAGATGAAACATGGTTTGACAGTCTCGATGTAGTAAATTTCGGTTGGATTGGCAGTAGTAAAAATTGCTTTTTGAATGGGCCATGTTCTAAAGGGAAACGCATTATAATAGTACACGCTGGAAGCAAAGACGGTTTCGTGCCTAATGCTTTATTATTTTCTGCTAAACAAATTAAAAACTATGCAGCTGATTATCATGAAGATATGACAGCAGAATTATTTGAAAAACTGTGTATTGAACAGCTTTTACCTTACATTCCACCACAGTCAGTAATCGTTATGAACAACGCATCCTACCACTCGCGGCAACTCCTTAAAATACCAAGTATTAGCAGTAAAAAAGCTCAAATTTTAGGTTTTATGTCTGAAAAAAATATTCCTATTCCTGCCAGTGATAGTAAAAAAGGACCAACAAATAAAGAATTGCTTACTGTTATTAAAGGTATAAAGTTAGAAAAAATGTATTATATTGACAAGCTGTGCAAACTCTTCTCAGACTACCTCCTTACTATTGCATATTTAACCCTATAGAGTTAATATTGGCAAACTTAAAATCAGAATTACGAAAATGTAATCAGTCTCCAGAACTGAGTAAAGAAGTTGTAGAACTCGTAAAGAAAGTTCTAGCAGCAGACCGCCAAGAGCTTTGGAAAAACTGTGTTGAACATGTTATCAAAGAAGAAGATGAGTATGTAGTATTACCCTCTTTACAACCCATCATAATTCAACCAAATGATGACTCTAGTTCAGAGGATTCAGACTGCCATGATTATTTATAAAGATACTTTAGAATTGAATTGTTTTTTTTTGTTTTATTTGCAAAGAATTTATTTTCCTTTATGGTTTTTTCTTTGAAATTTTGTTTTCCAGAAAAAGAACGAATGGGGTACAAAAAGGGTTCAGTTCACGTCTGGTACCCTGTTTAAACCAAATGCCCTTACAGCCAGGTACACTTTACTGGCATTTTTACGTTTTATAATTTAATATTCAGTTGTAGCAAGTTAACGAGCTATAATGATTTTTTTTAAGTCCAAGTAAGATTATAATTAAGTGCATCTATCTAAATAAGGGCGTATAATAACGTCCAATTTATAATTATTCGATTTCCTTTTAACGAATACTTTCTTGCATATGATATATATTAAAAGTATTAATAAAATAAATTTATAAAATGAGGTAGGTATCTACGCCTATGGCAGATCAAACAAAATTGTCAGCAAAGGTTCCGAACGAGTTTTTATGATCTGCAATTGATAGTGGAAGAACTATAATAATTACCAAACCATAAATTCGAATATATTGGCAATAATAATTCAAGTTCTCTAAATGTGTTTAAAACTCTACAAAATTGTAAAAAGGTGATTAGGTACTTTCCTAAATAATTAATCATAGTCCAAACAAATTTAAAAGACGTGAAGCAGTTACTAATGGAAAAGGAGTGTATTATAGTGTACGTGGATCTTTATCTTTATTTCATGTACGCTAATTTGTATGTTATGGTTATTCCCACTATGTAATTGGTTTATGTTGAGAAGTGCAGAAAAAAATTATATAAATAAATAAATAACGCACTTGTAAATGATTTTTTATTTATTATATAGTTTGATGTGCTTCAAGTAATAGAATAAAATAGAAATTATTACCTGGAAGAACAGTACAAAACAGACCCATTGGTAGTAGGTGTAATATTTTTGAGCTCCGTCTTGGTTAAAGTCATTCGCAACACCGGGATGGGCTACCTCCGTTCCGACCTGTAAAAAGAATAAGACTCGTTATAATAATTAAAATTTTACCTTGAAAGGCTGATAATTATACCAGTTTCTCATTATATAATCCATTGGTTATTAAAATATAAGGTGCAATTGGGATGTACCATAAATACTTCTACATGACCAGTGAAGGTTAACTAAAAATTGGAGAGGAATTAGTTGCAAAGCAACAAATTGTAAGAACAACAGTAACTTCTAAATAAGTTTTGGGTTTTTTTCAAACTAATCGATATTTAAACGTAAAAGAAAAAAACTAAAGTAAATTTATTCATCCTTAAATACATAAAAAGTTTTTTGTTAATCCTCTAATTGGCAAAATTTAAACTTTTATTGGATTTTTTTTATTTAATAATTATTATGATAAGCTTCATTATCTAACAAATCCCATTTACAAGGCAATTTAATAACATATTAGATCATACCAAATACATTAATTTCATTACTGAAACTGTCAAGATTATTATATGTTTTACATATGTGGTAGATTGGTGATTTCAACATAAAAATTGGTATTTCCTTGGCTCAGATAAAATAATGTTTTATCTAATATTCTTGCTCAGAATACGCATTCATATTTTATTTAATGTTTCCGAACAACTAATTCTATTGCCTATTTAACAACTTATACAAAAATATTAACATTAAGTATGATGTTCTGTCTAATAATTGCGAGTTATTGTCTGTAACATAAGATAGATATTTTGCTAATTTATGTTTTATTTTTTCTAGTTGTTGGATTTGAACTGCATATAAAAGGATTCCTACAATATTCTAGTTTTGATCTAACATAGCTGTACTATAACAGTGATATTTTTAAAAGAACTGTAAATAAAACTTTTTTGATGCATCATCGGATATATCAGCAATTATATGAATTAAATGAAAGTTTTGAGCCAAAATCGACCCCTAGATCTTTAAAATTAATAAGAGTAATATAGGGTATCTCAGAAATATTTTCGTTTATTAATTCATTCCCTGGTGTAATAGGCACATTCCCGAGAAAGAAGGCAATTTTCAGAAGGTGCTGGACAGTGTTAAGTTTTAGTTGCAATGGGCTGCAACGTGCTTATTGTATTCGTGTGTTTTATAAAAACAATGATTCTTATATTCTTGTACGCAGTTTGTACAGAAATCAATATAACATAGTAAGAATGAAAGATATCCCAAGTGCAAATTTAATTTCTTAAACAATATTTAATAAAATTTGCAGTTGGGACATCATTCATTTTTGCTGTTATAATGATGTATGTACAACGACGCTCAAGAACATAAAAAATATTATTTTTATAAAATGCACGAATACAAAAAACACGTTGTTGTCCCGTAAATCGCCCTATTGCAACTTAAACTTAACACTGTATATCACCATTTTCCTACTACCTCATTTTCTCAGAAATGTGCCTATTGCGCCAGCGGACGTATTGATAAACGAAAATATTTCTGAGGCACCCTTTAGTATTGTATTTTATAATCAAACAATTTTGGAGTTTTTGTTAGGTGTTAGGGTATATATGTAACCATAATAAATTTACTTATGTTAAAAGACAACTTACAGTTGTTATGACAACTATAAACTACAACAAAGTCAGATTGGAGTTAATAACTGTCATAAACTGAGTTAACTAGCTCTTATATTTTTAGATCATCAGCAGAGAGATGGAAATTGCTAAAGATACATTGCAAGAGACAATATATAAGAAGTGGCGCAATATTGATTCCCTGAGGAACTCGGCTAGTTGATTTAAATTTAAAAAATCGAGATATGAGGAGATTAGTTATGCATTAAATTTAAATTTTTGCACTAATAATGTGTGGTCGAGTCAATCGAAGACATTTGAGAAGTCTGTAAATCGTTTTAACCTGTTTGTGATTGTCTAAATTCTAAAGACCCTAAAGCAAAATGTGTAAAACATGTTTACTTTATTCGAAAATAAATGATACCAAAATTTTTATGACCCAGAAAATAAACATGACATCATAAATTAGTGACGGAGAATTTCTAAAATACAATATTCAGCATTATTTGTTCCAAAATAAAATCTTTGGTTTTCTTCCTAAAATTTTAAAAAATACCAATTTATTTGAAATCTTTGTCTTAAATTTTTTAGTCATTTTAATCAACAAAAAAAAGATAAGCAAATATATAATATCTACAGGTAAAAAATATTTACAATTCAAGATCAATTTAAGCAACTCTCAACTTTCTTAGAAAGGATTAAAATTACTAATCGGCAGACAGTGTTATGCAGATTGTACATTATTTTAGTTAAGATTTACTTTTCTGTTTGTACAGTCCTGTGATTGAAATACGCAGAATTGTAAGTTCTGTAATGAGAAGCGATATTAATCAAGTAAATTTGTGCAATAAAATTGGCACAAACGTCTAATTATACACCTTCGAAATTAAAGTGCACTTTAACCGTTTAATAAAAACTTTAGTGTTAAATGTACATGACGCTCTTGTACATGAACATTTCAATAGTACTGTTCGGAGTATAATTTCTAAGTGTTCAAATATGACCAGAGTTGGAGAAACAACTCTTTATAGACTTTTGAAGCAACGAAAGGATGGAAGTATTACAGTAACACCTACAACGTCAACTGGAAGAAAACATTCAAATATAAAACAACTGATCCCAAGAAAAGTGCATTCGTTTTTTTTTTACAAAAAAAGATACCTACTTTGGATAAACTTTTATTAGACAATAATGGAGACGAAACTTTGCCAAACGTTATAAGAAACAAATTGTGGAAAACCATACATGAATTAGACTTCGTCTGGAAGAAGAACGATAGAAAATATGCGCTTATAGGGAAAGGTGAAATTTTTTGTTGGATGAGGCAAATTTTAAGGAAAATGGTAGAGGTCGACGTTTAATTATCACTCATATTGGAGGAGATAACGGATTAGTTGATAGAGGCTTGTTAGAATTTGTTTCAAATTATACGAATGACTAGCATGAAGAAATGACTGCTGATATTTTTTATATTTCATTTTGCTTCTTAGTTTTGATTGTTTTACAGTCTACTTTCAGTTTATTTTTTATAATATTTCCTTAGTCGGAACGAGGACCGGTTGTTTTGAAATTTTTTTGGTAAGACAGCTCTGACACCATTACTGAACCACTCATATCAAAATATTGCTAATATCTCACATTTTTCCAAAGTTGTGAGATTTTTGGTGGTTAAAGGGTAGGAGGAGATTGTTCCAATATTTTTCATAGATACACGATAAATATGCATTTTACTTTAATACATTAATTATTTCACACTTTTTTTAATCCATCTTTCCTATTGTTTGACAAATTTCACATTACTCATGCGTAAAAAAGCACAGGGCTTTTGAATCTAGTAATTTTCCATACAACTTATTTTCTATCTCTCTTTTATCCTTGCCTCTTACAACTGTTGGGTTGGCTATGACGATTACCCCCTGCTATCGTTACTATAAATAACTGTCATCTAGTCTATATAGTAGGGTAGTCAGAGTAACTTTTTTGGTACACATTTGCACAAGACATTTTCTAAACAGACCTTTTTAAGACGTCGTCATCAAGGGCTCCATTACTGCAAGGACTAGCAAAGTATTTACATTTTCTACAAAGTAAGAACGAAAGAAATATCTGTAATTTTGCCGAAAAGTGTCACTCTTACCAATAATAAAAGTTCAAAATGACATTTGCGGATGTGTAATTGAAACTTAGAGTAGGAAACATAACCAACAACAAATTTTGATTATTTAAACAGGAAGTAGTATTTGCGCATGAGTAATAGAGATCTTTAAAAACGGAGAAGGTCTATTGATATTACTGTGATGCGTTACCATTTTGTAGAGGTTTGTTATTTTGCCAGTGTTTTGCCATAAAATAAGAGTACATTATTAAATAAATACAGAGTGATTATAATTTTTTTGACAGAACCATTTGGTAATTTTGACTAGAAACTAATAAATCATGTAATCGTCATTATTACGTAAAACTTTTCGAAAAGAAAAATATCAAAAATAGAGCTTAGAGTCACAAGAACTATTTTCATTTATATTACGTGGTCATTCATTTGTTGTTTTTTTTAAGTTTATGTTCTTAAAAATTAATAAAATATTAATTTAAAATAGATGTTGGTCTATAGTTTTCCAAATAGTCACATAAAAAGGATTTATAGCTATTTTACTGATGGATGAGCATCTATTTTGTAAACTGGATGGAAAATTTTTCAAGCAAGTACTTAAATCTTAAAAAATAGCCTGAACTTAAAGCCAGAGATACACATGCAATCAAATTGGGCTAGTAGCTTGAATGCCAGCAGCTTGCATGTGCCAGTAGCTTGCAGACTGAGGATACACTACCAAGTAAAATTACATGTCAGTAGGTTAAATGTGCCAGTAGCAACATTTGCCAGTTGCAAGCATTTGGGAACGCGGACATTTTGAATACGCTAACCTGTCCAGCATTTTAAGTGCATTTAGTTTGTGAATTTTTATATTTTTATCGTAATACCATCATTCATTAGTTCAGAGATGGATTACTCCAATTCCACAAACATTCGTACTCTTTATATAAACGAATAAACTTAATTGTCTTTTTATCTCCCCACTGAGACATTATGATGTCGAAAACGAAAAATAAAAAACTCTTTGTCACGATGGTCACAACTTGCATGCAGTACTGGCATACTAGTACCTGTCTGTGGTTCACACATTTAATTTGGCATGCAGTTTGTGTTCCCCTACCACCCAACTTGCTCACTGCATACCAAAAAATCAAATCCGGTTCAGTCTACTTGTATACAAGCTACTTTCATGCAAGTTAACATATACACATTCATGTAGCTGGCATACAAGTGTACAGGCATGTGTATCTCCGGTTTGAGAGTTTAAATATTTGGCATGGACAGGCGTGAGAGGAAAAAGGACCAAATATTTTTACAAGTGCAGGCTGAATACTGTAAATCACTTGTCAATCTTTTAAAGACGTCTTGGGAGG